TAGAGTTATCGTTTATTATTTAGAATTACAGTCAGACCTTTCTATAGTCACTTCCTCTATAATCTCATTTGCTTATAATCACAAATTTTTAAAACCAACTCACATAATGCATATAAATTTAACCTTGAAATCGAGGGTGTGATTATAGAGAGTTTGACTGTAAAAAAAAAAAAAAAAAACAAAAAAAAATTTCCGGACTGACCGGATTTTTGAAATCCATGTGATGCAAAATGAAAAATTAGCTGTGTGGCCTAACGTATTTACTTCTCCAAGCTACCATGTATGATATTTCGATCCTCACTTTTAGAACGAACATGACTTTCAATATCACAAGGTCGAAGTATTGCTATATCTCGTGCTTTGAATATATCCATAAAGGTTGACAAGTTGGATCATGAGAAATTGGGCTTACTCTATACCGACCTATAACTTTGTATCTAACATTTATGAACGGGTTTTAAGAAATATATATAAGAATTTCAATTAAATAAATTTACAGCGTGAATAATGGGTTGACAAATCGAATATACCTTTTTTATTGTGCATTGGAATTTACATTCGAATTACTAATTGATTATTATTACATTTTTTATGCAATGATCATATTCAAATTATCGAAACGGGGCTAAATCATAGGGTTTTAAGCGTATAATTATTTTGGGCCCTTATTTGTAACAATTTTCAAATATCGGGCTCTATCTGTAATTATTTTCATTTTGGGCCCTTATTTGTAATTAGTTTCATTTTTGGGCCTTTAGGCCACACAAATTTAATATCTTGGTTTTCATAACATGAAATTTTTGATCAGACCCGGCCGGGTTATGAAAACCAATTAATTAATTTTGTATGGCCTTACCTGTAAATTCCCCTAAAAAATAAATGTGTTTTTTCAGTATGATTTGTTATTGATTATAATTTTCATACATATACCTAAGAGGATGTGATGTAAAATTAAGAGTTTCAATACATTCTTTGACTTGACATAGTCTCGATCACTTTTAAAATTTCGGGTAAGCGCTTTCCAAGGAACAAAATTGTTAAATTTGATAGTTGAGCTTGGATACCATTTAAAAACTCTTCAAGAGATTTTAGAAAAGTAGGATTGACATCAAGGAGCTTAAAAGAATCCAAAGAAATTGGTAATAAAGTTCCAACCCGTCATCCATTTATCCATATCTGAATTTATCCGGATATCCATTTACTATTGATATTCGGATAATCCAACAAATATTCAGATATCTATAGTAAAACGGATATCTGAATAAATTCAGATCTGAATATCCAATAAATAAATGGATAAATGGATAAACAGATAATGGATAGGAACTCTAAATGGTAATATCCAGCCAAGTTTTGAGATAAATTCTGAGTTGAAAACCATATCAAGCTTTGTCAATTTCATTCCATTCCGTCCTTGTTGTAAATATTCAAAATAGAAATATTTGGACAATGGCATCGTCTGTATCACTTCTAAATGTAAATTTTGCAATGACCGGTGAATGACTGTCGGTGAAATAAACTTGTCAGTGAAGTGATTGTCAGAATGAACAGAACACCACCCTAATTTGATAATTACAAAATAAAGTTCCTTATTCTATTTCTCTTATCTTTATCTTAAACCCAAGTACTGCAATGCTAGTAGATAAATGAACTGTCGAAATTGTAAATGTCGGAAATTTGGAGTACATCCATTTTTATCATTATGATTGTATGTACGTAGAAAAAAATTCAATTTCCTTGGGTAATTCTAAAACGATGCCCTGGAATAGGATAAAAGACTTTGGTATTGGATATGCAAAAGTTTCATTATAGCTGCTTAAACAATTAACTTTAATTGATTAAGCTATTCAGTATATTTTCAGACTGCGGACATTCGAAATATGTAACACTGAATTAAGTTACTAAGATTCTTTGCGTTAGGAACCGAATCCGTTAAGGTGATAAATCAATTGTGAATCACTAATATATGACATATATTGTTAGTCAAAACAGTAGTGAGTCTGGTCAAATGGTCTCTTAATTTAATAGTTTAGTTACACTAATATGATCTAGAACGATCAAATTTCAAGCTTTTACATGTATGTAGGTACGTACCGGACCGGTCAAGTTTGTTGGTCTGACCATGCCAATCCCAAATAATTTTTACCGCCTTATCGTTATGGACAGGACATTTTGATGGTATAAAGGGCTAATAATTCAGAAGGCTGGAACTTGAAATCTACGATCAGTGTTGTTAACCAAATGATATAAAAATTAGGAAGGTTAAAGACTTTTTTTTCAATTGCAACTTTAATGCCATGTCGTTATAAATTATACTGGTTTTAATATGTCTTAAAGATATTTCAAATTTTAAAGCTTACACCAGCAGATTATTGGGCTGATATGAAACCCCTTGCCTATGTAATGTTATGTAGTATGCTATGCTGAATTGTGGCTTGCATTGCCTGAATGGCGGTCAAATTTAAATTCGCTATGTTTTCAATGACGTATCTACAGAAAATCCCATTTTTAGTTTCAAAGCAGATCTAAGTACATGGCTTGGATTACAAGATAGATACGAAGAATTCCCATGTAAGAAAAAAAAGTATTTATGATACAATAATAAAGACTCGTTAAATTTTCGATATAGAGAAGTCTAGCTCGAAACGATAAAATAAATTCGTTCGATAATGAACTTATTAATTTCTAATCATTGAAGCTTTTTCGGTTCTCGAAACAATTATCGTTATTTAGTAAATCATTTAAATCATATTAAGATATGATCATAAAATTCAGGATTTTTTTAAAAAAAATAAACCTTGGATTCGTGCAAGCCTATACGAACATCTGGGTGCAAAATTCTTTAAACGGATAAGATCCGATAAGGAATTTTCGGAACAGATCTGTTCAGACTAGAAGCCTAAAGTTTAGTGCTATAAAATAGATCAAACTCAATCTAGTCATGATTAGATGATAGTTTAACCAAAGAAGTGTTGAATGAACCTTATGCCATTATCAAAGTTCCGACACCCACAGATTAATATTTGGTGTAAACCCCCAAAAAAGCCATTTATGATAGAATTGGTCAGTTTAATGAGAATTGCCAAGTAAAAGATCAGTGCTTGCGATTGGATCATTGGTTCTGTCTAATTCAAACACTGCAAGGGATAACTCAATGTTCTTCATTCATGTATATTAGACCTAATTAGTTATCTAGTGACTACAAATGGAGAAGTAAGACTATTCTAAATTGATTATAATGCTATAGGAAAGAAAGAAAGTTACGTCCATATGCATAAGGATAAATAAACATGTTACTATGAAAAGAATATGATCAATCAGGTCAGAATTTCTAACGTATGTACGAATAGGGTCTTTGTGTTAAAAAACATATATAAACTTATCACTTTGGTTGTAAGAATTACCTTCATTTTTTTAAACTGTTGTAAGAAAAATGAACCCAAGTAATAGTTGTATACGTGTTTTCATATTATAAACCATTCCTAGAGGACGCATGTTTGTAAAAAGGCGTACGTAAAAAAATGCATGCTGAAAATCAATTTGACAAAAACCAAATAAGAAAATTGATATTTAAAGCAATATTTCGTTGAACTTGCGGCGCTGGGTTTCCTAACATGGAGCTAACCGCAAACTAAAAGGACGAAGACATACATATCGATATGTAAATAGGTACGGTAAATTGAAATTTCCTTCATAAGCGATTAGCACTGGTTAAATACTTACTCATTTACCAGTCTTTTACTGTTCCAACTCCCATTGTTTAAAGTGTTTTTTTGGATATACAAAAACCAAAAGCCACGAGTATTTAATCGTATTTAATGTAGTATAATGCATATAATTTTGCATTCCACTAACTAACTAAATTTAATATATTTGCAAATCAGGAACATTATGCTCGTGTTCCGTATTCATTTACAAATAGTTTCAGGGTTAATAGTACTATATTACGAGAATATCGCTAATACATAATAATCTTTATTTATCGTTAATAATCATTAAATATTATATTGCTGTATAGTCACCCCAAACAGACAACAATATAAACGAATTCTATTAATTGTTGGTATTACACCTATTTACTACATCCTCCTTTGATCTTTTATTTATATTACTGTACATGTATATATTGTATAAGTACAGTAATTGTACAATACCAAAGTACTGTAAAAAATTACAGATGAACCATCGCCACATTTTCGGGAAAGTAACTTTAAAATAATGTACTTAACCTTTTTTGTCAATTTCTTTGTCGTGTTATTTGCCTGATTATCAATTATTATAAATTTGTTACATGGTAGCCGTCCCGTAACCTGGCTTGGACTTTCGTACAACCTTCTTTCCTGGACTTTGATATTATCCGTGTAACTTTCAGATAATATATAAAAAAAAAAATCATTGGGGAAAAAATGGCTTCAATTTGTTTGAACCACAAAAAAATATTAATAATAAATAGACCTTTCCAAATACTCTGATATTATATAATATTCTTCTGAGTTGGTCCAACACAGTTTTGCATATACGTATAAATCCACTAAAAATCTTTTAAATTGATTTTTTCGGATTTGCACCCTATTCCCCGGTTTATTAATTTCTCTCACTTCGTTATAACCACCCTCCTTTTTTCTGTATACATTATATAAAGAATTCTTTTTTTGTTTTTTGTTACGGTGCTCCGGTACCGCTATTTGCCTCAAACCAAATAAAAGATATAAATTTACAAGCAATTTACAAGTTGATATAATTTTGAAGAATAAAAAAAAAAAAAATACAAGTGCATTCCTGGATTTTTCCTAACAACCTATCTCTTAAATTTGAAAGTTAATACCCTATAACACACGGTACCCTTTTTTAACCTTCGTTTTATAAAAAAAAAAAAAATTAATAATTTTTTAACGGCTATATAATACACTGCTTACCTAGTCATACCTAGGTTTTTTGAAGAAAAATCTTTCCTGTTTTCGCACCCTTTAAATTTTCCTTTTTAGCAAAGGATAAAACAGATGGACGATAATGTATCCTATCAATTTGCACCGGTACGACAGCGTAGAGATGATAGACAGAATATGTAAGTATATTGTTTTGCTATTATTGTTAACAACATGAACTTGTCATGTACTTGTCATGAACTTTTCATAAGTATATGCGTGATGTTATCCTTGGTTGATATTCTTTCAAATTATTATTATTCATTATTTGGCATCTTGATAACTTAGTCGGTATGAGTTAATCCTCAGGCAACAACCAAAGCAATCAAGAATGTGTGGTATTGGCGAGAAAGGTAAGCTTTCACATTTGTTCTTATATTCTTGGAAATTAGTTATCAAATTTGGTGGAAATTTCGTTATCATTTGCGTTACATAAAGCACCTTTTACATATCGTTTGTCTTCCTTCTTCGATGATTGCTACCAAAGAAGTCGAAAATTGTTATCCGCTTGGAATTCACGTGTTTTATCAAACCACTGTTCGCTGTTAATGCATTTAAATAATTGAAAATCGGTTAAAATGATAATACTTTCTTGTCATACGCGTCTAAATCTGGCAATTTGGAATACATCGTCATGCAACCTTCGGTAATGCCGCGGATCTTTAAAGATGTGACTTTTCTATTGATATGTGAATTGCGTCATTTACTTTGATATCACATGATTATAGATCTGAACTTTTCAATATATTATAATAATAATAATAATCATAAAATTTGTACTCGTTTATTATTATTTTACGTTAGCTGACAGACGTCCTATAGATCCACCTCCAATAATTCAATTAAAAGTTTATGATGATAATCTACCACAATCCGAAAAGAAGTAATAATTATTGGATTTTATATGCCATCTCACGTGATGGATTGTTTCTAATAATTTGTCTAATAGTTCATTTCTCCAGAATCCTTATTTCTTTATGTATGCATCCCTTGTGGCTCCTGATACAAATGAAGAATTACATTTACTTCGCGATGGCAAAACACGTTCTACAACCGGTTCTGTCGTTTCTTCTCTATATCATCTTAAAGATGTCGATAATTCGGATGCTGGATTTTTCGTATTTCCTGATTTATCCGTGCGTATGGAAGGAACTTATCGTCTTAAACTAAGTCTATTCGAAATAGTTGCGTAAGTACCAAAATATCTTATTTTTACATCCTTGAATTGTTATAATATGTATTGTAATTTAATTTATTTTATTTTATTTAATTATAGACGCGAAGTATTTCATTGTAAATCAATCTTTTCAGAAGTCTTTGTCGTATATTCTGCAAAAAGATTTCCCGGAATGGAAGGTATGTTTCATATGAATTTATCTATGAAAATTTATTTCTTTATTTATTTTCTTTTTCTTTTCGCAACATAGAGTCGACGTTTTTGTCAAGGTCTTTTGCTGACCAAGGTTTGAAAATCCGAATTAGAAAAGAGATAAGAATAAGAAGGTTATTTGATTTCCCTTCCATATCTATGTTATTAATTTCCTTGTTTCATTAACGTGACTTTTATCATCGTTTTATGTAACCGTTACAAGCAGACGATTAGTCAAAAGAAAGGAATTAGAACAAATTGAAGACGCTGATGGCAATAGAATGAAACGTGCACGTGGCGATGGTAAATACGATGATGATAGCCGCGAATCATCAGAAACAGAAATAACCGATCGTACGCGATCTATAGAAGATTCACATTCAAGAAGAAGTCCAGAATTATCAGAAAGACGAAGAGATCACGGAAGAAAAAGCCCACCATCCTCCCGTCATCGAGGTCCTTATGATCCGTATAGTCATTATGATCATAATGCTATATATGGACATGGATATCCTTTGCATCGACCTCTTCCACCATGGCATGACCGTCCAGAATATATGGGTGATCCGCATTACGCACCTTATTATGATCCGTATGATAGAAGATATGGTTATCATCCGTATTATTACCCACCTCCATTGCTAGATGGTTCGGACCATCATCGTTATCCATATCCTCCTCCGCCAGCATATGGTAGACCTCCAATGTATCCAGGTCAACCGGGATATTATGATCCACCATCAAGAATACCTCATCCTTCGAGCGAATCTTCAGGTGCTGTAAGGCCTTACGGATATGATCCATCAAATATATATTCTCCACGTCCATGGCATCATTATGGTGATCGTACACCGACAAATCATAGTACTGAATCAATGCCTTCTCCTTATCGTGGAAGTGGTCCAGTACCATTACATGGTCCTCCAATGTATCCGTATCCTGATTATTATCCTGTATATCCACCACCACCAATGGGACCTCTCCACCCCCCTCCAAAACAGGACTATGGACCAGGTGATCCTGCTTCGAGTCAACATGGGCAGAACCCTTCAAAAATTCCTATTCAAGATCTTTTATCTACTGAGCAACATCAATCTCAATCTAATGCTGAACGTGGTGTTGCCGGAGTTCCACCACCTCGCATGTATGGTGCTCCACCATCCGCCTTTGCCCATTTTTATCCCCATCCAGGCCGTCCACACGAATATCCACCACGACATGACTTGTATGGTCATCCCCGATATCAACATGAAATGGGGTATCCGTCTCATGAGAGTTATGCCACTAGTTCAAGTTCTGCAAGTGCTAAAGCTGCGCATCCATCTACAGTATCGCAATCACAAGACTCGGCACGTTCATCAACAATTACTTCAACTCAAGCAACAATGCCACCGTCTACTTATTCCAGTGGGTCCATAGTTCCAGTCATATCACGTCCAGCAGCGTCCTTACCTTCGTTGGCTCCAATAAATGTTCTTGATCGATATGCAAGTAGCTCTTCTAATGTACAAACACATACACCATATCCTACTTCCTCTACGCATTCTTCTACAACGGCACAACAAAAATCTCCGAAGCAATCCACGTCACAGCATTCATCCTATGAACAATCTCAGCTTCCTTATTCCCAGTCATCTTTAAATTCATCGAATAGGATGTCATTTTCTCCCATTGCAGGAAGTAGTAATGGTAAGAATAAGCATATTACCGATTGTTCTAGCATGAATGATGATAATGAAGATTCAAATTCTTTGTCATCCCCGGATACCGATTTAGAAGAATCAAGACGACAAGATGACGATGCGGAAGATGACTAGAAGGTATATATACTCATGGATAAAAGGTAATAATTGACATGTTTTTTTTAAAAAATTAAGATTTTTGGGCTTTTTTTTTTTATTTTTACTGGCATTTTCTTTTCTTGGTTACAAACAAATATTTTACTTTTTTTAGGGATTTCTAAAGACTATCAATAAGCTGAAAACTCATTTTGGCATGTTTTGTTGTAATACGTACCTTTATTTTCTTTTTTGTAAAATTGACTTTTAAAGATTAACGTATGAGTGAAGTTTTTTTCAACAATTATGTAAATAAAGGATAGAATAGTATGGCTGTTATTTCCAAACATAAATATGACAATGTAATTATGTACAAAAAATAATAATAACTAAAGTGTATTAATATTTAATTCCTTATACTTTTTGTTTAAGATATAGCGTGTTCACTCTAAAGACATTCAAAATCGCTACATCTCAATGAATATTAAAAATATGTAACTTTTGTTTTAGATAGGATCTACAAAACTACATTTGTTTCAAGTTACACGTTGCAAACCTATGAAAGCCTCAATGTTACATAATCATTTAATATATACTGTATTTCAAAAAAAAAATTTAGTTCGAAGATGCGAATCCTTCAAGAGGAACTCGACGATGAAACCAATACTTCTTTTGTAGCAAATCTAACTTAAGGATCGAGGAGAATGGTGAGCAAATGGATGAAACTTTGTTAATATAACAGTTTAATATATATGGAGCAGTTTTTTTAGGGCGTCCAAAAAAAATAATCAAAAAGACGTGAATATCAACTGGGTGGATTCAATATAACTAAGTTTGCACAATAAAACTTTGAGTAAATTATTTATGTTGCCTTAATTGCTTAGAAAAATAAGTCAACTTATCTAAACAGGCATTTTAACTTAAATTACCTCCTTTATATGTGACTTTTTTTCGCTATGCAAAATCAGGTAAGATAAAAAGAATTCATACGGCATAAGTCTAATTTTCTTGGATCGAAAATGCGTTGTATGCACTTGTTCTACCAAGATAGGTATATATTATATATATAAATGTGTGCCGAAATTATTTTTGAAAAAAAAAGTATTTATAACGGCAAACATTTAGGCATTGCTAAATTTTTTAGATGAAACCCACTGAAATAACTATACTATATGATGTATTTTGATAAAAAAATTTCGGCAATAATTTCGGCGAATATGAAAATTAATTTCAGCTAGCGAAATGCCGTAATTACTTTTTTATTAGATGGGCAGTTTCAGCACACATGTATAGGTATATAACTCACAGCATTAGAATCTAATATGTAAAGGCATTTCGAAGTAAATATTAAGAATATAAATACTAGTTTCTTTAATTGATTAAATAACAAATTTAATATTTATTTTATTTTATTTTTTTACTTTGGCATTTTTGCTAGTAGCTTTGTTAATATTATATTTAAGTTGCAATAGTTACATTAAAATTTTACAAAAACTTATTTATGCAATCTATATCTTTACTAAAAATTTGCCATTATCTGGTCACTTCTAATAATGTTCAAATATAATTTATCATATCTACTTTACTAAGACTTGCAAATTTGCAACTTTAATATTACTTGTAATTAGTTATAAAGTAACTATAAAATAACTATATAGTTACATTATAGTAATTCTATTTTATATTTACTATATATAAGCAATACGCCTACCACTACTTAGTAAATAGTAATAGATGTATTGTTAATATATAATAAATGTAAACTAAAATTACTATAAAGTAACTATATAGTTATAATTACTTTATAATTAATTACAAGTAGTATTAAAGTTGCAAATTTGCAAGTTTTAGCAAAATTGTTGCAAATTGTAACAAGAAAACTTAGTATATATTAGTTTATTATTATATTTATATAATTTATATCAAATTATTTTATGTTTATATAATCTTATCTCTTTAAGTGCATACTCTAGAGATTAGGTATAAGTGCGACTTAGAAAATGTGCATTTATAAAATTAACTTAGATAGCCAATCAAAAGTGAAGTTAAACATGTAATCAGCACTTTAATGTTTTTCAACCGAAAATAAGATACCTTATGATTGATAATAATTGCTACATAGTAAAGTTTAAAGTTTATTATGTAAATTGATTATAATCACTTAAATAAACTTGTTTAAAAGATTAAAACACACATATTTTAAAATTTTTATTAATATTAAAGAACTTTTTATTATTTGGTTTTAATTTTTATGTTCAATAAAAAAATTAAAAATTTTTAAAAAATATATTTATTAAATTTAAAATTTAAATATCAAATAACATACTATGTAACATTTTTCAACAACAATAGAAAAAATCATATAATATAATAAACAGATCTAAACATTCAAAAATATATATCTTAATTAAACTCTAATACTATTAATACATCTAATATAAATATATTTATATTTATCAATAACTGGTTATTTTTAAGTTATTTATTTACTAATTATATTTACTAAATATCAAAACTATTATTTTAGGCTTTTTTTAATCTTTTTATAGTTAAAATTAATTTAAAATAATTAATAATATTATATAGAAAAGAGGTATGATAACCTAGTAAAGTAGTCAGGTTGTCAACCTCTAAGTAACAGGTCTAGAGTTCAAATCTCATAGATGATAAATTTTGAAAATTATATCTGTATTATGGTAACTGATTCTGTTGATCAGTTGGATTGAGTGAATCTGTAACCTTCAGTTATATTATCTTAAATAGGAGCTCAAAGCATCTATGCAAAATATAATATTATATATACATGAAAGAATGTTTAACTGGTATTGTATAAGACTTCAGTGCAAATCTATAATAAAATCACTAAGTACAGAAAGTGAAGGAATCATGGAGTTGGAAGCCTATTTAGAAATCCTGAATAAGGAGGTAGCACAAATTTTTAATAGTACTGTCAGACTAATAAAACCTTATGAAACACTTTTAATAAGAATAGGCAAATAAACTAAATGATAAGATGTATAGAGGAACATATAATCAATCAAGTTGTCAGAATCATCAAAGAAAAAGAATACTAAAGTATATTATATCAGATTATCTGAATTAGAAGTTTGAGGAGTCCTGTTAGTTTTTAGCTATAGTTAGTAAAAGACAATAAAGAAGATATCAAAAAGATAGATATTAGAGTTTGAATAAACTTTACAAGAATATATAGTTAGTTTAATGGTTAGTTCTGACTACAAATGATAGTTTAGATCAAAATGATATCAGATTAGCTATAAGTATAGGATATAGTACAAAGTTAAATATAGTTTAGTAATCATGACATATTTTTATTAGTTTATTGATATTATTGATAGAATGTAATGAATATGGAATCAGAGTGTTTAAATAGAAAATCTACAGATAGATCTTAGATATAGCAACTAGTATAAAACCTTTGGACAAACAATTTAAATTATATAATTACTAAAGTTGTATAAGTGACTAGTTGTATACTCTTTTTATAATTGTCTTTGTGTCTGTTATATTAATAAATACTAGCTAATATTTACTATTAATAAACTTTTAAGTCATATGTACTTACCTTAACATTAAAAAAAAAAAGATAGTATTATATAGAAATAAAAATATAATATTATATTGAATATCTTAAATAAGTAATACAAATATAGTTTAAAAATCTGTAATATAATTACTTCTATTATCTAATAAAGTTTTTATTTTAAAATTTAAAAAAAAATTCAAATAACAAAAAATACTTTGATTTTGATAAAAATTTTAGTATATATATATTAAACAGATTTATTTAAAAAATAATATTTAGATTATATAATAAAATTTAAACTTTATTATATATATAATAATTATTTAAAATTGATTAAAATTAATTATATCTGAAAGGGTGTGGGTCTTATAGCTTAGCAGTTAAGCTCCCATACCCTTCACAGTCAAGGTCAATAGTTCAAGTTCGGCTGGAGGCAAAATTGAAAGATTTTAGCTTCTGTAACCTAATAAGGAGTCTGTAATTGAATACGAAGCCCTGTGGTTAAGTCCAAGTGCAGTA